TCGAGCGTGTGCGCACACCGCGTATACCGTATAGCGTTGTAGATTCTGTAGATGCCGACGCTGAGGGAATGTTCGGCGCATAAAACTTCTGACTCGCTATTTTGATGCCGTCCTCCTGTGTTTCCAAAGCTGGTTGTACACAGCACTTGCGACCACGAAGACCGCTCTTCTGCCGCACTAGCTGGCTCCAGGGCGGCCAGAGCCAACCTGGGCTTCTCCTTATGTCGCTCAGAACTAAGCACCATGGCACCATGATCAAAGGAGCTTTTGGACGCAACTTCAGACGCACTTCTTCGAGGCACAGCCCGCGCCTCAAAGTGCAGATGGCAGCCGGACAGAGGAAGTAGCTATGACACACGTACCGTTGCAATGCAGAGGCAAGAGAGGTTGTATGGGCAGCAATAGGAGCTCTGAACAACACGATGGACTAAACGGACACCATTATAGCCTGCAATAAGAACGATTATCAGCGAGAAGCTGCTTCACCAGTGACGTCAGCACAATGGTTTTGTGGCTCAGCATTGTGCAGCTGATGTTTTAATTTCTGTGCCTTGTACTTTAATTTCACACTTGACCAGCAGTGCCTGTACCAATGCCCAAATAATGGGCAGGTGTCTGTTGCCACAGTTCCGGCACTCACACCCGATGACCTCGCACTACAGACCATGTCATGCCACATGTCAAGTGCTATCATGTCATAGGATGCTTCCTTGGGTTTGGCCCAGTGTTGGTATGTAGACACAAGATGTCAGAGGTTTGCGTAGGGCCACAGGTCTCAATCCCTCCAAACTCAGCCGTGCACTTCAACCATAATCTGCAGCGACCACGGCAAAACTGGGGGTCAGCGGAAAGCAAGGCAAAATGTCAGAAGAGGCCCACCTGTAGAGTGGAGTGAACGACAATCTTATGATTGGGCCGGTAGCAAGGGCTATGGCAAAAGGAGAAGTCGAGGTTCAAGAATACTGACTCCCAAGTGCGATGGTAGCACACATGCAGGTCAAGTAGCAGAGCAAAGTCATGGACAGGACTAACAAGAGCCGGCATACTGACCCTCTGGTCCGATTGTATGGCACATGCAGGTCGCATAGGGCAAAGTAACGGAAGGGACTAAGAAGAGCAGGCATCGCCAATTCACAAGAAATCGAGAGCAGCAGGACCCTACAAGGAAAGATCATGAGAATTCAGTCAAGTGTCAAGTGCCGTACGGGGTGGTTAAAGCTGCTCACCACCTTCCGGTTGTTATAGCCGATCATGTTAGGTTAGACGGTGCCCAAGATTCGAGACTCTGTGCAAGCTTGAAATGATTGTTGGACACGTGTGGGTTGAACACGGGAGAACAGATGTCAAGTCTTGGTTGGTTTGAGGTCGGCCAACTATAACCCTGGCGCCGGGAGCAAGCTCATTGCTCTCATGGCTGGCTTGGAGGGGTTGGGCATGCTCATGAAGAACCTGGACAGCACATACACCTGCCCCGTGCAAGCGGCAAAGCATTTCAAACTGGTGGCTGAACTAGCTCCTGCACCAGCATTTCAGAGCCGTCAGTTTTTCGGTAGTCCCAGGTCGTCAAGCTCTTCCATCCTAGCATCCCAGGCTTTGGCCAACGGGCATCTTAGCCGTGCACGTTGTCTGATGCAGCTGGGGAACATCTTCAAGATCCAGGTGGGCCTGGAAACCATTGGAGACGCGTTTGCTTGTGTTGGGTTTTTCCTTGGCACATCATGTAGATGAAAACAGGTCCGTCTCTCTCTCTCTCTCTCTCTCTCTCTCTCTCTCTCTCTCTCTCTCTCTCTCTCTTTCTCTCTATATATATATGTGTTTATTTATACATGCATATATATATATATATGAATGAGAGGAGCCTTTAGGGTCTATTTGGCATATATATATATATATATACACATATTTCTGTGCTATATCTGTGTGTGCCTCTTCCAGGCATGCAGACATACATGGGGGGCACAATGTTTACATAGCTGTCTGCCAACCTGGCATGCAAAGGCACAGAACATGTTCTCAAGTGGCGGCCGTGTGTTTGCATCCCAGTTGTGTGGCCCCCCTATCGAGGCCATGGCTCGCTGGTACAACACCCTTCCGGACGCCGGGGACCCTCGGCTGAGAGCAGAGGAGAGAAGCAGAGACGAATGCTGCTCCGCATGCATATGCAAATTCCTATTCGTTGCAGACTCGTTGCAGTGTTTTCTGTAGCTGCTGTTCGTTCATGCAACCTTGTATCTCCGTGTTTGCGTGCATGCAGCTGACTAGATGCTCGGCAAGTGAGACCTGATAGGAGATAGGAGAACTAGACACCATTGTGAGACCGTGTAGCGCCACGCGATGGGAAGCAAACAGTCGTACGTGCACCTTAATGGCTGAAGGCAGGGCATCGAAATATCTGCATAGCTCAACCTGCCAAATGTGTGAAGCGAGCGATGCGTGAGATGGGAGGCAAAAGCGACCACACTATCCAGAAAGACCGCGGTTTCGTTGGCCGATCCAGTCCAGCACGCAAACGTGCTCTCATGTTTCCGCCCAAGATCGGGCTTGACCCCTTCCCTTCCGGTCCGTGTGGACAACTTGACTTGGGTGGGTGGGTCGCGGTAAAAGCAAGCACACCAGTGGCCGGGACACCGGTGAGGATTGCCCCAGACCCGAGGCATCAAATTCAGGTCATTGATGTGGATAGACGTGCCATCGCTTGCCTGACAACTTAAGAGAGGCGTCTTGTGTTATGATCTTGCCGGAAAACTGCTTTATCAAGAAAGCATGTTTCAAGCACACATATTGCACCCTTGATCATCTGCAGTTCCTGTGCAAGCTTTTGACGACTATGAGGATGCTGGCCGTGGCAAGCGGTTCGAGCCTCGACTTCAAGCTCCTTACTTGCAACGTAATTGCTGGATCGGTGAAGCATGGTTCAGATTTGCAGCAAGAGGTGGAGTACACCATTGCCGTGACGCAGCTCCATGCAGGACTGAAGACTCCGCAGCGTGCCATCGACACCTGGCGGCACACGACAGCAGCGCGATGCATAGATGGCATAGTTGAATGTCTTGGGGGCTGGAGAGTGGAGAGTTCGCATGGCGGCACTTGAGGTCAGATTTCCAGCACACGTCCGGAAGCCTCGCTTCGAAGTCCACTCGATCTGCAATTATCGCCGCTCGGCAGTGCCGAGTTTCGACGAAGTGAACATCGTGGGAAGCTTTCTCTTTCCCGAGGCCCGGATCCGACGTCGCAGACAGGCGCCGACTGCCCTCTGCCCGAGCTTTCCGTCCCGAACCACAGGGCCTACTCCGAGCCCCGTCCTAAACCACAGAGGGGAAGGCGGACGCGCGGATGCGAACGGCAAATCTTTGAGTCTTAGAGCGGGCCCTGGGCCAAGGAACGCCACGAGTACAAGTACGTTCTTCACGAAGAGCTGCCTCTGCCAGACCGAGAAGCTCATTACAGCAAAATGTTGGTGATCCACCAAGCGCCCGGGAAGCATGGTAACATCAATATTGTCATGCTTCTGAGGAGAAGCGCACCGGTTCCGTCTTGAATTGAGGCGTTTCTTGCGCCAGATCCGCCGGATTGGGTGTTTTTCATCGACTGCGATGCCTTCTTCACAGACGCAGGAACGAGCTTGCAGGATGTTCTGGAGACCTACGGCGCCGGCGGCGCTGCCGGCCCGCATTTCCTGGTAGCAGAAGATCCGGGTGGCATCAACACAGGGACCGGGAAAGGGGGGAAGTTACAGGAATGTTGTCGCCTGTGGACACTGCTGCTCAGCACTAAACTAGGAAGCACCGAGAAAGCACCCGAGACGGCCACGGTGCGCTTTGAAGCCGCTTGCATGCAGGACACTTCTTTTCCGAAGGAGCGAGTGGTCACTCTCATTCCTGGAGCAAGTCGCGAGCAGTCAGTTTGCAGTCGCCTGGGATCAGTCGATGTTCTTCTGGGAGATCTTGAAAGCTGGGCTGCTGGCTGAGCAACTGGAGCCGTCCCTGCTGCAAGCGGACTACGCGTGGCCTCCAGAAGTCGCACTGGTCCACCAGGCCGTTGGCAAAGAAGGAGTACCACAGTAGACAGAGTGCTGTAGGAGCTGCCTTCAGAAATCTCTGCACCAGGCCCACTTAAATGCCTACGTTCCTCCGGCCTCCACGGATTGGTCAGCGCACGAGTGGAGGGAAGGCGATTTCGTGCGGCACTTTGCTGGCTGCCCATGGCAGGACCTGGGCGGCACGTTGTTGGAGCAGTGTCCCTGGTGCGTGCTCGGCCCTGCTAGGCAGCTAGGCCGTACGCCACAGCACTCAGCAGCAACGAGTAGTGGGCGCAACGACGTTGCGGAGGAGGAGGAGGAGGAGGAGGAGGAGGAGGAGGAGGAGGAGGAGGAGGAGGAATAGGACCACGACCACCACGACCATCACAGCCACCGCGACTCGACCAAACCTACCAAGACGACCACGACCGACACGACTAGGACGACCTGCGACGAGGATAAATGCGAGCACAACAACGACGAGAAGAATAAGAGTGAGCAGAACAACGACAACTGACGACGATGATGACGATGAATCTGACAGTGACACCGTTCCACACCGCAAATAGGGAACTTGAAAGCACACAGCGATAGTTACTATAGTTGTTGTGTGTAGAAACTCATGTTGGATCTGGTCTTGATGTTCCAGATGCGATCAAATTAGTTCAAGCTTTACAGATGCTTTCTCTTGCATCTTTAGCATGTCGCTGTTGCTGGAGAGGAGCCACATTGCTTGGGGTTGATGCGCGAGACTGCCAACTACGCCGACCAGAAGCTGAGACGGTCATGATGCTAGCGGTGAGAAAACCCTGGGTGCAGGGATGCTGACACTGGGTTTGGTTCCAAGCTCGCCCAGTAGCAAAGGCAACTTGACAGGCGGTGAATCCTGCGCAATGGTCTGTGGAACCGATTCTGGTCGACATGTTGGGCCCAATGACGCAGCTCCAGTCTGGACCTTGTCCAAGTCCGTAGCGGCCGTCGTATGATGGTGGTGCGCGGCTTGCTGCTCCTGACCTCAGCGATTAAGCATCTTTGGCTGAACGGACCTGTTGCTCGCACAGTGGGAGCTTCCTGGCAGCTGAGGCTAGGACAGGTGGCTGCCGCAGAGATGCCACAGGTCCTGACTTCGATGCCGCAAGAAGCTCGAGCGGCCAGGACTTGTGACTTGTGAGGGCTAGTGCGGCAGGATGCAGAAGCCTGGCCTCCCTTCTCTCCCAGGACAGCATCGAAGGAAGACGTCGCCTACCTGAACCGGCACATCTTCGCGGGGAATGTGCTGCAGCACGCCCAGCTGACACGGGGTTCTCCCATGCAGCCCGACTTGAGCGCGGAGACTCAAACTCTGCACTCGCGAGGAAGCCCCTGGGAGGTGGCGTGGAGCAGCTTGGCTCTGCTTTGTGGTCGAAGTACTTAGACAGACTTCAGGTCCAGCGTATCTGTATAAGGCAGTGGGTGGTGTCCTTCTGCCCAAGATGGTGGCAACCGTGCCAACAGCTGGAGCAGACCTTCTTAGAAGCGGCAAGAAATTGGCAAAGCGAGCATCTTGGCTCTTGACGATATGGTGATCTGCAATCTATCTCCCTCTGGTGCTGCTTAGCGCTGCTTTTGATTTATCCATCCTTGCCATTGCTGTATCTTTCGAAACTGCACGAGGCTGGGCTGACTCAACTAAGGCTGAACACGGACCCTTCAATGCTACGGTTGCGATTTGCGCAGGCCTTTTCCGAGCAGTGAAGACCACGGAGCAGGTTTATTCGACAATATGCTCAGCAAGCCGCTCCTGGTCTTGCCAGGTTGACTGCGCGGTGGACAAGGTTCTCTGCAACGAAGAGCATGTGACTACATACCCGATGGCCTCGACCTGAGACTCTGCCAATGTCGTCCATGGCCACCAGCTTCTCAATACTTCGGTGAGCATTTGGACAGCACTTCACCTGCATCCTGGTTGTGCGGCAGGTAGCCCTCTACCGTGGTGGAATCCAGATCGACTTGAAAGGCATCATGTTAGTCTCTCTTTGTGATGAATATGACTATCCTGTCGCAGCATAGATGTTTGCAAGCAAGCCGTTTGCAGGTATCGCGAGAGAGCAGACTCTGCAGCTGGACTGAACAAGGAATGTCTTGCAAAGAGCTCAGAAGCCAGCGCTTTAGAAAGCACCACTTCCAACTCTTCCGACAACAGCCACTGTTCTCTCTGACAGCAGTTGTGAAGTGACGCGAGCATGTCAGCAAGGGAGCCTGCTTGACCTTTCAAATTCAAGCTGGGGGCAGAGGTTTCTCCTGATCTCCACATTGAGGACTGCACTTGAGCAGTTCCTGAAGACCAATGTCCAGCGCGTTCCAAGATCGGAGGGCACCGAGGACGCCTGCGATGAAGAGCATAGCTGCTTCCGTGTCAGTTTCGCAGAAGCACCTGCACGACTTACCATTGTCCTCCATCGGTGCAGGGGTATGGAAAGCCTTCTTTTTTAGAGGCGCTGGGCAAGCTTCCGGGCAGCCCCCTCGGGCAAGCTCATCTTCCTTGGACCCTCGAAATGCTGGTGCTCTGTAGCCGGGCGGCAGGATGCATGGTGCGAACGCAGAATGCTGGGTTTGTCTCTGGGCTAGCTCCTGTAGGAATGAGTTGGCAATGAGGCTGGCAGAATTCATGCGATCTCCTGCTGGCAGCAGCGTTGTTGTTGGTGAGCCTGCGGCTGCTTGACCCCACACTGGCATGTCTTGTGAGCCAGAAGATGTGTGCGGGGTGGCTTACCGATGCGTCCCCCGGCACAGCAGACCGTGCTAGCACTCCGCAACAGAGCAAAGCCGTGATTCGACAGGTTCCTACATTACTCTCCTGAAGACCCTCGTGGAAATTATTCGACAAGGTGGGTCAATCTCAATATCACCGCTCTTCAAAGTTGAGCTTAAAACCAGCTGCAGGATCACCGGGCACTCTTCCGTTTCCTTCTTGCCCTGGGGTCCTTCACCGGCTGTCGTCGAAATCTGACACCATAGAAGGTCCTGCGAACTCTGGGGTACAACCCCGTCAGTTTCCTCGGTTCGCTGGCGTAGGATGATTAGGAGTTTAGGTTTGTGGCTGCCTGTTGAGCTGCTTTAGTCCTGTACATCTTAGATGCTCCGGGCGGCCCGATATGCGAGCGAAAAGGGCCCATTGATGATCATCTGTGGAGATCTCCGGCTGCTGCTGCCCGCGAAGACTTCGAGTTTCAGCTCCTTCCCCGAGGCCCTTTCCATGGAAACGGAGCTCGAAAACGAGAGGCGGAAGCAGCGTCAGCTCTACGAGGCATGGAAGCACCGAAGCCCATAGGATCCTGGCGGATTTTTCGCGTTTTGCTTGCAGTGGCAAGGCGGTCCAAGTGCAGAAGGTCGCCTTGGAGACTGAAGTCGCAGACCTCCGCATGGTGCCAAGTTGTGGACGTCCGGTTCCATGTGCGAGAATAAGCATGCCCTCCTGGGCTGTCTCCTGCTGCGTGGCAGGGGCCTATGCCGGCATGGCATGTCTTGAAATTTGAAAGCCGTTCGTGCCCAAAGCCATCGGCCGCAGCGGTCAAGTTTCGCTTTTCCGTTCATTCTCTTTGAAGATGGGCAATCTTTGCTGCCCTGCTGCTGCGCCGTCGCCAGTCATCGTGCACATTTATGTGGTGGGCTGAGAGCAATGTCGTGCTGGGCTCCCCGGCTGTGCAGCACTGTGTGTTCGATCATTGGCCATGGCTGAGGATGTTACTGGCACAGCGCCCCTGAAGGTTGTTAATGAGGCACTTGCATCTTTCGTCCGAAGACATCGCCTTGAAACATGATGTGCTCCCGCAGTCGCCTTCGAGCAGGTCTTGCGCCCTTTTGGCACGGGTGCCTTCCACGCTGCCGTGGAAGTTCATGGAAGGCCGGGTGTTCTTGAACTTGCAAGTGATGCCCCAGAGGCTTGTGCTTGTGTGCCTACAGTGCAGGGAGTGGAGCTACGGGCAGACGGTGAGGGGTCATGGAATATTTGAAAACCAGCCGGGAGAGTGCCAAGAGCACTCATACCGGGAGGCGCCACGCCGTGAAGATGCAAAGCTCAGGCTGTGCGTGTGTGTGTAGGGCTCTCTGCCACTTTGAGAGGCGATTCACATGGGCTACACAGACTTTTCCCCTTTCGAAGTGCAGAGTCTTATTTCCGAGATGGCCAAGCGCTGGCCGGGTCGCGATGCTTGGCGGAGGGTTTCGGTGGAGCATGACATACGCCCAGCCTAAATCATGTGAGGTTGCAGCCACCTTCTTTGCAGCACCCAAGGAATACAATGTGCTGAACAAGAACTGCTGTCACTTCAGCGATGAGCTGTGCCAACTTCTCGGAGTTGGACAGCTCCCCTCTTGGGTTTTGCCCTGAGTCCGTTTGCCGGGTCTGTCAGGCTTTTCTAGGCTTGAAGGCATCAGAAGGGCGTGGTAGAGCACAGCGTGTCACGATGTTGCCAACTATTGCAAGGGATGAACACCAACAGCCAATAGCAGCAACCACCACGCATAACTTTGTTTGGACTGGAGGTGCAGGGTTTTCATTCTGAAGCTGCGGTAGCTTTGCGGGAACCAGCATGGGCTACATGGCGCCGGCGTGCATGTTGAAAGGCTTTGCTTCCAGGTCCGAAGTCCCCAGACCGAAGAAAAATGAAGTGCACGATTCACGATTAGACCGATCCTCCGCCCTCTGTGTGCAGGACGGTGGGTTTGCACCCTGCCCTCAAGATGCCAAATTCGTTGCATGATTCCTTGCAGATCTTTCCGTGGTTTTATCGAGGTCACCCACATGGCAGGCGCTGCTTCCAAAGTTGGCCCAGGACTCCGTGAGCTGTGCCTTGACAGCTCCGGAGCTGTGCGATATTGTGCCATGCTGTAAAGGGCTTAGGGTTCGGGTGCAGTACTGAGTATTGAGAAGCTACGGAGAACTCTTGTGTTT